AGGAGCGGCGGCGCTCCACCGTGTTCCTGTCCGTGGGAGCCATTGAGGGTAGCCCTCCTAGCGCGGACCTGCCCTCCCTGCAGCCGTCCCGCTCCATCGACGAGCGCCTTCTGGGGCCCGGCGCCGCCACCACCACCACTGGCCGCGACCTGCTGCTGCCCTCCCCTGTCTCTGCTCTGAAGCCATTGGTCAGTGGCCCGAGCCTTGGGCCTTCGGGCTCCACCTTCATCCACCCACTCACTGGTAAACCCTTGGATCCCAGCTCACCCCTGGCCCTTGCCCTGGCTGCCCGCGAGCGGGCTCTGGCCTCCCAGGCACCCTCCCGGTCCCCAACACCTGTGCACAGCCCTGACGCTGACCGCCCTGGGCCCTTGTTCGTGGATGTGCAGGCCCGTGACTCTGAGCGAGGGCCTCTGGCCTCCCCAGCCTTCTCCCCGAGGAGCCCAGCCTGGGTTCCTGTGCCCGCTCGCAGGGAGCCGGAGAAAGCTCCCCGGGAGGAGCGGAAGTCACCAGAGGACAAGAAGTCCATGATCCTCAGCGTCCTGGACACGTCCCTGCAGCGGCCAGCCGGCCTCATTGTCGTGCATGCCACCAGCAATGGGCAGGAGCCCAGCGGGCTGGGGGCCGAAGAGGAGCGCCCAGGCACCCCAGAGCTGGCCCCAGCCCCCACGCAGTCAGCAGTGGTGGCAGAGCCTCTGCCTAGTCCCCGGGCCCAGCCCCCTGGCAGCACCCCGTCTGATCCCGGGCCAGGCCAGGGCAGCTCAGAGGAGGAGCCAGAGCTGGTATTCGCTGTGAATCTTCCGCCGGCCCAGCTGTCCTCCAGTGATGAGGAGACCAGAGAAGAGCTGGCCCGCATTGGACTTGTGCCACCCCCTGAAGAGTTTGCCAATGGGGTCCTGCTGGCCACCCCACTCCCCGGCCCAGGTCCCTCGCCCACCACGATGCCAGGCCCGGCCTCAGGGAAGCCCAGCAGCGAGCCGCCCCCTGCCCCGGAGTCTGCAGCAGACTCGGGGGTGGAGGAGGCTGACACTCGCAGCTCCAGCGACCCCCACCTGGAGACCACGAGCACTATCTCCACGGTGTCCAGCATGTCTACCCTAAGCTCGGAGAGCGGGGAACTCACCGACACCCACACCTCCTTCGCCGACGGACATACTTTTCTACTCGAGAAGCCACCAGTGCCTCCCAAGCCCAAGCTCAAGTCCCCGCTGGGGAAGGGGCCGGTGACCTTCAGGGACCCGCTGCTGAAGCAGTCCTCCGACAGTGAGCTCATGGCCCAGCAGCACCATGCCGCCTCTGCTGGGTTGGCCTCTGCTGCCGGGCCTGCTCGCCCTCGCTACCTCTTCCAGAGAAGGTCCAAGCTGTGGGGGGACCCTGTGGAGAGCCGGGGGCTCCCTGGGACCGAAGACGACAAACCAACTGTGATCAGTGAGCTCAGCTCCCGCCTGCAGCAGCTGAACAAAGATACCCGCTCCCTGGGGGAGGAGCCAGTTGGCGGCCTGGGCGGCCTGCTGGACCCTGCCAAGAAGTCGCCCATCGCGGCAGCTCGGTGAGCATGGCAGTGTGGGGAGGGTTCTGTCCCATGTCCATGCCTGCCCCCCCGTTCTTCCTCCTGTCCATCTACCTCTCCCTCCGTTCCCCCTCCACGGCCCATTCTCTCCCATCCCTCACCTGTTTGTGGCACCCTCCCTGTGCTCCTGTCCGCCTCTCTGTTCTTTATCCAGCCTTGCTTTGTCTGAGACAGAAGGCTCTTTCAGGGATCTGAAATTTCAGGGATGCTGTTCTCTCATTCCTATTGGTGCTGGGAGTGAGAGCTGGGCACCCATCAGAGACCCAGGCTGGGCCTGAGCACCCCCACAGCCCTCCGGGAGGTGTCCTGCCCCTGGGGTCCCTGCAGACTCTCACCCTCACTCCTGACCATAGCTGCCTCTACCATTAAGGGTTGTTCTGTGGTCCACTCTGAAGTTGCAGGCCACCTACGTCCCAGCTATTTGACTTCTCTGTGGCTCTGTGCACCCCCCCCCATACATCCTCCCTGTGACCATGTGGCTGTCACATGTGGCTGGTGCCGTCTTTCCTGTAGCTGCCTCACTTCCTTTTGAGACTGAGAGTACACTGGATCCTTCTCCTTTTAGGACCCAGCACCAATTTCCTATTTTCTGCCCCAGAAACATTTCTGTCTCTCAGCACCACCTCAGAGTCCTTCAAACACGGACTCCTGTGTATGATTTTCAGAGTGCATTAAGAAGCCATTCTTAGAGGGAAATCAGACCATTTCTCTGCACCTCCATCTGCTCTCTCTTCTTCCTACCTCATCCATTCCTCTGTCCTCCCCTCCTACCTCCTACCCAAGGTGGGGACTTGAAGAGGCCACATTGTGCCTGGAAATGGGGGAAACACTGGCTTGGGGCAGGGGACAGCAGGGGCTGAGGTGCTGCTCTGGCTAGGCAGAAGCTCCCAGAGCCTCAGGGCTCACCCCTTAAAGACCCATTCCCATGGCCTCACCCCCAAAGTGGACCCCCTTGGGCCTGTGGGCTCTGTGGACGCAGGTGGGAGAGTGGTTCCTGCCCACAAGTGCTGTCTGAGGCAGAGCTGGTCGTCCCCAGGCCGGTCCTTGTCCACCTTGCCTTCTGTGCCCTGAAGGCCCTTCTCCACTTCGAGCTTTTTGGGTAGCATGTGGTAGCCACTTCCTGGCTCCTCCTTCTGGCTACCTTGAAGACCAGCCTAGTGAGCCTTTCCTGTCAACCTTGGAAGGCAGAGTTCTCAAAGCAGGGAGGGATTCAGGTCTTACTCACAGGGCTTATCTGATCTACTTTGTTGCAGCTAAGAACTCAAATGATAAGTGGGGGCTTGGGAAGCTAATGGTGCCTCTCCTCAGCGGCCCAGGAGTGCCGCCCTCCAGCTCCTGTCTTCCCAGGCTTGCTCTGGGCCTTTCCCCCCTTTTTGCCTCTTCCAACTGACAGCTGAATGTGAAAGCCCTCTTCCCAGCAGGGCAATGTTTAAGGTGACCTTAGAGTGGGTGTTAGGGGTGAGGCCAGGGAGTCCCGTTGGGATGAGCAGCCCGGTCCTAGGCCTCTGAGGAATAGACCCCTGATGGTGAGGGTCCCTGACGTGGCCTGGACCAGCCCCCATCTTTGCTCTCTGCTTCTCCTCCCTCTGCCAGCCCTTCCATTCTTCTGTGCCCCTTGGTCCTGATGAAAATTAAAGCAATTTAAAGTGGGTAGCACAGTGCCTGGCACAGCGCAGGCGCTCAATAAAACATTCACTAAACGCGTGAAGGATGAAGCTAAATGCAAGTGCTGTCTTTTGTGATGTGAGGTCTAGGGAGGTGGCTTAGAAAAAACACCACAGAGGGACAGACACTTGGCTGAGTTTTGCTGGTTTTCAAGCCTCACTGTGGAGCTCAGGGGAACCCAGGTCTTGTCCTTGGCTCTGCTGGCTCCCACGGGGCAGCTGGGCAGTCACAGGTCAAGAGATGGGGGCCACTCAGCTGGACCTTTCACCACACCCCCCCATGGTCATCCTCAGCGTTTCCCCTTTGTCACGGCAAGGCTCTCTTGTCCAGTGGCTCTGGGTTGTGCCAGGACCTGCGTTTGTTTCCTTTCCTGGATGTGTTGTGGGGGAGGGGCAAGTCCAGCAGTTCAAGCCTTTCCGTCCATCTGTTCTGTGGGCCCACCGGAGAGTGAGCCTCTTTCATTTAGGAGCCCCTGCAAATTTCCAGCTGGCTTCATGTGGATCCCTGCTTCCCCTGCAACAGCCACTGGGGTCAAGGAGATGTAGGGCTGCCACTGGCCAGGCCTGAGTCATGTGCTCTCCTAGGAGCCGGGGCATGGGGTCAGCTCCGTTACTAGACAGGTGCTGAGAGTGAGGGGAGTCTTCCACAGGAAGATCAGATGTTGTCACCAGAGGGAGCAGGTGCCAGAGAGCTTAAAGCAAGAGACAACCCTTGTGACATGGTACTCACTGTGTCACAACTTGCTTTGTTTCCTGGCATCGGCTTGGGGTCAGATGGCCCTGGATTTCAACCTCCAGCAGTGGATAAACCACTTAACCTCTGTGAACGTCACTCCCTCCCCTGTGAAATGGCGAGGGTGACACACAGCACCACCTGGGAAGCACCAGGCACTGAGCCAGGCAGGTAGGTGAACACTCAGAGTCCTCACAAGAAGATGAGTGCTGTGCACTAGAGGGCGTCAAGTCATATGATTTCATCCTCACAACCATTCTGTTAGATGGACAATAATATAATCTTCATTATCCAGACAATAAACTTGAGGCTCTGAAGAGATGCCGTGTGTCCAGTAAGTGGTGGCCTCTAACCTCAAGCCCCACTCTCTGACCACTGTAACCCGGAGTCGTGAGACCCCTTCTGGTGACAGACACTGGATTTACGTGCAGGAATTCTCCTCACACAGAAATGCACGTTTTCGTCCTGCCGACCGACCTCTGTATTTATCAGTCAGATGTGTAACAAACAGCACGTGTTCTGGAGTCACTTGCACTTGAGCCCGGCCAGTGCCGCCTGACAGGCCCGGCCACGTGAATTCACCCGCCTGCCCTGCCCTTCCTTTCCCACTTCCCTCCGCGTGCCCTTCTGCTCCTGGTCACAGCTCCTTCCTCCCTCCCTCTTACGCTCACCTTCTTGCCCTCAGACCTCTGGAGCTGGGCCGCCTGCCTGCACTGGACCCTTTACTTCTGACCACTGGCAGGCAGCTGAGCAGGAGATGCAATGGCCACACCCAGTGGTTTGCCCATGTGGCCGGCAGTGTCTGTGCTACCCATCCGAGCCACCACTGGTGGCTAGAGTCTGGCATTCATGTCTCTCGTAGGGATAAAACTGCTTGTGAAACTGTCTTTTAGAGAAATGGCCAAAGTGTGGGAAGTTCTGATGTCCAGGTGGGGCTATTTCCTTTCCAAGACCAGTTCTAGCAGAAGCCCCAGGACAATTGCCACAGCCACCCAGTAGGTCACATCCCTGATCCTTGCCCCCTGGCCCCTCATGTGTTCCCTCCCAGGCCCACCCGTCTCTTTACCCGATGGACACCACAAGAAAGGAAGGGCCCTCTCTACCCACCTTCCCCACTGACGGCTCAGTCTAGGCTCCGGGGCCCTTTAGCCACAAGACACTCTGTGGCCTGAGATCTTTCTGGGGGAGCTTACCCCTTAATGTCGTGGGCTTGAAGCTTGGTAACTTGCAGAAATGCCCCAGGGCCATCTTTGATTTCTGGGTGGAAGCACCCCAGCGTGTGTCTCTGGAAGGCCCGTGGCCTTTGGCTTTTTGGAACATTGATCTCAGACCATCCATCTACTCTATCCCTTTAGCTTTGAGTCTAGCCTGGTCAACAGAGCCCCACCACTGTCTCTGAGCTCCCTTTGTCTTCCAGACTCCATGGTTGGATCTGAGTCCCACATGTGGTCCGAGGACCGCGGCTCTGTGAGCCCCATGGCAATACTCAGTTTTGCTGTGGCTCCCGGTTTTATACCTATCTGACCCTCACATCTGATCTTACGGAAAATATTTCCTGGTGAAATAGCTTTGGAAACACAAAGTTAAAGAGGTTCCACCCCTGCAGTACTTCTCAAAACCTTTGATGGCCAGTGTGCCGTGGTCTCAGACGGCTTCTTTAGTAGATCACTAATGAGAGTCTCACAGAAGACACACTTTCTTCTGATGGTGGAGAAACCCTGCCCTGGGGTCCTCCTGTGAGCCTCTTGCTGCTGGTATGTCTGACGGATCTGGAAGGAGCCCTGCGTGACTGCAGGTGCTTCAGGCCAGCTAGGCTTGTTCTTCTGAGACCGGACTGACGCCTGTTGTGTGCCGGCCAGTGCAGGGGCGCAGGGGCCAGGGTGTGCTCTGTCCTTACAGGTCACTCAGGGTTGAGGACATGTGAGGTGTGTTCACAGGAGATGTGGTCAGAGCTTCAGGAGCTCTGAACTCTGCTGGGGAAGCAGGAAGGGGTCCCAGAGGAGGGACGACATGGAGGCACTTGGAGTGCATCAAGATCGGAGCCTTGAGCTGGTGTGGGCAGTGAGAAGTTGGAGGGCTGGAATAGGACACCAAGACCAAAGAGAAGGCACCAGGACACAGACAAGCCCACGTCAGTTTGTGCTCTGGTTGGCGACTGTTTCCGTAGTCAGGCTCCCAAATCGCAAAAGGCCACAGGCCTTGACCTGCCCCATGTGAGCACAGCGGCAGGAGGTTCAAGGCAGCGGCTGGGGCCGGAGTGGGCTTTTTCTTGCCTCTTGGTACCAATGAGCTGACAGGCAGTGAAGTCTGAGAGAGACACGTCACCTTACTTTTGTTTCATGACATTTTTTCAGTGCCTGTTGTGTTCCTGGCTTTGAGCTCGGTCCCAAGAGTCTAGGAGAACAATTAGGAAGTGACATGAAAGGTCTACATCTAGAGAAAGCCAGGGGATGAGGAGGGGGCCTGGATTAGTGCTGCGAGGGGGTGACTTGTCAGCTGTGGGGATGAAAAGATGGAGCAGCTGATGGTGGCTCCCAGGCCCCAGTGTGGGAAGGACTCAGGGAGGGAGAACATGTTTGGAGACCCCAATAGAAGTCTGGAGCTCAGGAGAGACTGGCTGGGCCTCACAGAGGGCATTTGTGGGCACATCTATCACAACAAAGGGACATGGCCTGGGAGAAAGTGCAAACTAAGGGGACCCCATCCAGGAAGGAAGGGAAGCAGATGGACAGGCCAAAAAGGGGGTCCTGCTGGCGGCCTTGGCAACCACAGTGGGTGGGGCGAGGGGCTCCTAACCTTGCTGGCTGAGGGCCCACGAGGAAGCAAGATTCAGACATTGGTGGAAAAGGTGCCGGGGGCCGTGGAGCCTTGCTGAGCCATCTGGAAAAAGGCTGCAAAGGCGTTCAAGGGTGATGGTGCCTGGTGAGGTACCATGTGTTAGAGGGTGGGTGGCCCAGAGGCCCTTTGGGAGGCTGCCAGTTGTTGTGACGTGGCCACACCATGGTTGGAGCCTGGCTGGGGAGGTAGTCAGACAGCTGAGAACAGTGACGGACAGTGATGGGTGTGCAGAGGTGGTGTGGAAACGTGGATCTTGACCATGGACACTGCTGGGGTTCCTGGCCTGGGTACGATGTGGATAGTTCCCTGTTCCCCAAGAGGAAGGGGAGGAGGAGCAGATACCTGGGCCATGGGCACCCCTGGCCACTCCCTGCTGTGCCCTGGGGCCGTGGTAGGGCACAGCCATCATTAGGTCTTCGAGGCTGCCTGCCATCTCCAGTGTGCTTTGGGCAGTGCTGGGAGTGTGACTGGCCCCTTCTCCTGCACTCCCAGCCCAGTGGACCATGGCCCTTCAGTCCCTCACTCAGCCTCTCCTGGCACCAGCCCTTGCCTCTGGCGGGTGCCCACCTCCCCACACCCAGCATTACCCCTTGGAAGGGTCTCCCTGGGTGCTTCTGGAGCCAGCCTGCCCTCATTTCTGGGTTTCCAGTTCACCCTGGGCTGGGCAGGGGGGCTCCAGTCCCTGCTCCAGGAGACCCTTGGGGCAGGGCCAAGCAAGACTCCGTCCTGTGATGCAGGTCCCCAGGCCAGGGTCATTGCATGAGGGCCCTGCAGGGGGAGCGCTATACTGGGCCTAGTCCCACAAGCACCATTCCCTTGGCGACTTCCCCAGCATTGCCCCCTCTCCCTCTTCCTAGCAGTCACTACCACCTGGGCACCCACCACCCCTTTGGCATCCTCTCCCACCCCTCTGCTGCTGCCCCATTTTGCCCTGAAGCCCCGGTGGTACAATGGACGCCAGATGTGGTGGGAGCAGGGAGGGTTTCTTCTGATGATTGGTGCCTGTTCCTTGAGCCCACCAACCCAGGTGTCCTGATGCCCCTTTCTGCAGGGGTGGGAGAAACATGGTCTGGCCTGTTCAAGAGGCCAGGGCAGACACAGCCTTGGGAGCAGTTGGGATTGGCAGTAGGGACAGAGGCTGAGGATAGGGAGCCAGTGGAAGGCAATGGAAACCAGGTCGTGTAGGAGGGACAGAGCTGGATCTCCGGGGAGAGGCCGACCTTGCACAGGTGAGAGAGGAAAAAAACAAAACCTACTTTCAGGGGAGGAAGGAGGCTCAGGATGCCCCGTGCCATGTGGGACAGGCACCAGTCAGGATAGCACAGAGGTGGGTGGGGGAACCCAGGGGAGGGGTCCTGAGCCCAGATGAGGCAGGGGCAGGGAGAGGGAGGTGAGATGACAGCCAGAGAGAGGCCCATCAGACAGCAGTAACATAAGGGGACACAAAGCATCACCAGGTGCCAGGTGTCTGCTGTGCACTTGCCACACAGTGTTCCGAGTAAAGCTTGTGAATGGGGTCCACCGGGGTCTGCGCTTCACAAACCAGAGAACAGATCACAGGCACACCGGGAGCCCACCGGGCCTGCCCAGGTCTGGCCTGCACTGCCCCTCCCCCAGCAGCTCCAGATTTGTTCCCTCCCATTGCAACTGGGCCCACTGCCTCTGAGTTCTTCCCTTCCTGGGTATCTGGCAAGGGGATCCCTGCACCTGGCTGCCCTTACTGTGGCCGTGACTGTGGGCCATGTGCCTGCTTTGAGGGCCTGGGCCGCTAACACTCTCTCTCATTGCTCTCTCCTGCCCATCTGCATGTGGCTGCTCTGTCTAGCTGCGCGGTGGTCCCGAGCGCCGGCTGTGTAAGTGAGCATGCCCATCCCATGCCTCTCACTGTCCATGTGCTGCACCTGCCCGCCTGGATCTCTGCTCTGCCTGGCTTCGTGGGGCTTTGGCGCCACTGACAGCCCCCTGAGGCTCCCTTTGACCACAACAGGGGATAGGGAAAGAAATGGGGTGGGGGTGGGGTGCCACATGGGAGTGGGTTTTCTCCGAAGGAGGTCCCCAGGTAGGCCTCCCAACTGTGGCTGTGCTGGGGAGGGGCTGAAGGCCTGGGGTCCTATCAGGTGATGTTGGGAAGTGAGGAACCGCCCGTGGGTGTGTGTGCGTGTGCGCACATGTGCTGCTGTATCACTGTCATCAGCAGGCCACTGCCACTCTTGCCACAGCTGCTGCATGCATGTAACATGTGTGGGTGCTACTGCTGTTGTGTGCTGTCCTGTGTAGGGAGGCCTAGTGTCATGGGCGTGCTGCTGCCTCACGCCTGTCCTGCACGTGCCACTGCTCTGTGTGGGTGTGAACACTGCCTGGTGTCTGTCCCAGACCTCACAACTTGTTCAGTCTTGTGCTGCTGCCAGTCTTTATCACGACTCAGCCAGTCCTGCACCAGCCCAGGTCTCTCTGGGTCCTCTCATGAGAACAGAGCTTTATGTGGGGAGTTGTGAGGGCATCGCAGGAGTTGTACCCTCCAGGGTACAGGTGGATGGAACAGTGCCCAGAGCCGGTGTCCGAGGCTGTCAGAGATGAGGCAGCCGACCCTTTGCCCCAGAGGCTGCCTTCCCTCTTGGAGCCCCCATGGGGTGGAGGGGGCCACCCGTTTTCCTACTTACATTCCATTCAGTCTAGGGGGCCCCCTCCCCCAGCAAGGCACTGGCTCTGAGTCTAGGGGCCAGGCCGGGGTAGCCATAGGATCCTACCCTTCTTTCTTCCTCTAGTCCAAAGGCTACCCTCACCGTCCCAGCGTCCTCCTGGCCACTGGCCCTGCTCCCCTCTGCCTGCCCCCACCTCGCCTGATGCCCCTCACCTGGCCTTGACCCCCTCTCCCTCCGCAGGCTCTTCAGCAGCCTCGGTGAGCTGAGCTCCATCTCAGCGCAGCGCAGCCCAG